AAACATGCGATGCCGCTATGAAAATGAAATCTCGTAACTACAACCTACAGGCTGTATTGATTTCTCCCATTCACATCATAATGCCTCTTCCCACACTGCTCATCAAAACACCTTAGAATTGTAAGTGTCAGCTTCATCTCACACTGCATCATTACAAATCACCAGTAAAATGTCCAGTTCACCCATTATCATCCCATGATGACGGATCCAGCACTAATGAAACTCTTTTACGGAACGTTTTCTTGTGGTGCTGATGAAGTGCTGATATCCCCTCTCTGTCTCAGGCCGGTTTCAGGCATAACTCAGCAACACAAATTCATCTGAAACGAGGCAGCATTAAGAGGGCAATTTGGCAATTCATTTCAGATGGCGGAGTGACCGCAATTATTTGTTTTTGGATGCTATTGAGAATGTACGTTTTGAAAAAGGATGTGTGAGGGCAAATGTTCCGCCAGTCTATGACTGATATATGCCTTGTGGATTTCCCTTACACTCACTCAGAGCTTTTCCTCAATGGATAATGACAAGCATATGTCCAAAAGATCCTTCAAACACACACACACAGGAATCAGTTTAAATTATGAATAGACCGCATGATCAAACGTACTAAAGCACCATCATAAACGAACAGCAAAAACTTCCTGTTAGGCTTCAGAAAGTACATTTGAAAGTTCATACATTTTTTACTATAAGCTTCAACGCCAAATTTACCGAGGCCATTTTGTAAATCATTTGAACATTTTATGGCCTGCAATAAGCGTTTTCATATTATTTCTGATCTGGCCACAATAGTCGAACAATTTTGCCAAACGCTATAAAGAAAAGAGACAACCGAGCCAACGCTTGAGGATAAAGCAGACACAATTGTACATTATTCTCAATTCTTGTTTATTACACCATACATAATGGAGCCCTGAGAGTTTCCAGCAAATATTTGTTCTAAAAATCCATCTGCATGTACTCACCCACACCCAAAATGGATGACTGGTTTTTAGGCCCTAATCTACATTAACAGGACCATACAGCCAAAAAAAATGAGCTCATTGGTCTCACTGCAAAAGATGATATAAGCAGCCAGTTAGCTACTGCTTACATTACAAATGACCACAAGCAGCAAAGTGGGGTGTGCAATGATGATGGAGGTGAAACGGTGTTGGAAACGGTCCGTGATGGAATGAACGGCAAAGGAAAACCTCCAGTTTCCATTTAAGGTTCATTTCCGTTCAGATATGTTTGAGATGTCAGTGTGTTTCTGGCTGCTACAGAGCTAAGCAGCTGTAATTTAAAAAGCATAGTCACTTTTATAATAGTCATAATCATGACTGTATATTTCAGCTAGATTTTATTATGCATCGAATTCGATTAGAATTTAAATTAAAGACAAATGCTGAGGACAGACAGTCAAGGTTGTACACTCATTGTTACTCATGTTTTCTATGAATCACTGATATATACGCTGTTACGTAATGAACATATTTCAAACGCAATGTGTAATGTAACGAACATATGTCATGAACCATGCTGTTAAATGTTGTAATGAAAACACATGTGAACTTGTGCACTCTGACATTCTGCCTTGGTCGAGCAGGAATCGGCAATGATGCTGGGTAATCACCATTAATAAAAAATAATAGCTGCAAATTGCAAATTTCCTGTCAAGCTAGCCACCCCCTTGAGAAGTACTTGCGTCTGTAAATGTGTGATCTGACATTTTTATTCATTATCGGGACATATTTCAAAAAATTTCTGAACCACTTAGAAAAAATTGCACCTAATACTATACCAATGAAGACATTTATTTTAAGTGTATTTTTGATAATGAAAATATCTGTTATTAAGTCATTAGTTATTAACTCTTCATTATTAGCTCTTAACTATTAATTAATAACATATATATATATATATATAGCAGGGTGTTAATTTTGGATGTTGGACGCAAACCAGGACATTCATAAATTAATAAGTGCAAAACCAGCTTCACATTATGTTAAACCACAGTTAAAAATAAATACTAGCCTGTGCTGTAAAAATGTATATTATAAAGATTAAAAGTTCCAAATTCTAAGTCCCTGCAAAACAGAAAATACACATACAGTATCTCACAGAAGTGAGTACACCCCACACATTTTTGTAAATATTTTATTATATCTTTTCATGTGACAACACTGAAGAAATGACACTTTGCTACAATGTAAAGTAGTGGATGTACAGATTGTATAACAGTGTAAATTTACTGTACCTTCAAAATAGCTCAACACACAGCCATTAATGTCTAAACCGCTGGCCACAAAAGTGAGTACACGCCTAAGTGAAAATGTCCAAATTGGGCCCAAAGTGTCAATATTTTGTGCGCCCACCATTATTTCCAGCACTGCCTTAACCCTCTTGGGCATGGAGTTCCCCAGAGCTTAACAGGTTGCCATTGGAGTTCTCTTCCACTCCTCCATGATAACATCATGGAGCTGGTGGATGTTAGAGACCTTGTGCTCCTCCACCTTCCGTTTGAGGATGCCCATGCTTGGCCAATCCATCACCTTTACCCTCAGCTTCTTTAGCAAGGCAGTGGTCGTCTTGGAGGTGTGTTTGGGGTTGTTTTCATGTTGGAATACTGCCCTGCGGCCCAGTCTCCGAAGGGAGGGGATCATGCTCTGCTTCAGTATGTCACAGTACATGTTGGCATTCATGGTTCCCTCAATGAACTGTAGCTCCCCAGTGACGGCAGCACTCATGCAGTCCCAGATCATGACACTCCCACCACCATGCTTGACTGTAGGCAAGACAGACTTGTCTTTGTACTCCTCACCTGGTTGCCGCCACACACGCTTGACACCATCTGAACCAAATAAGTTTATCTTGGTCTCATCAGACCACAGGACATGGTTCCAGTAATCCATGTCCTTAGTCTGCTTGTCTTCAGCAATCTGTTTGCGGGCTTTCTTGTGCATCATCTTTAGAAGAGGCTTCCTTCTGGGACGACAGCCATGCAGACCAATTTGATGCAGTGTGCGGCGTATGGTCTGAGCACTGACAGGTTGACCCCCCACCCCTTCAACCTCTGCAGCAATGCTGGCAGCACTCATACGTCTATTTCCCAAACACAACCTCTGGATATGACGCTGAGCACGTGCACTCAACTTCTTTGGTCGACCATAGCGAGGCCTGTTCTGAGTGGAACCTGTCCTGTTAAATTGGGCTAATTGGGCCCAATTTGGACATTTTCACTTAGGGGTGTACTCACTTTTGTGGCCAGCGGTTTAGACATTAATGGCTGTGGGTTGAGTTATTTTGAGGGGAACAGCAAATTTACACTGTTATAAAAGCTGTACACTCACTACTTTACATTGTAGCAAAGTGTCATTTCTTCAGTGTTGTCACATGAAAAGAAAAAACAAAAATGTGAGATACTGTAAATAAAACAGTGCCATTGTTACAGTTTTTTTTGTAGATATACTCTCATTTTAAACACAAACACATATGAAATTAATCCTGACTCACTGATGTCGTTCCAAACTCGTAAGACCTTCATTCATTTTCAGAACACAAATTAAGAAATTTTTGATTAAATCCGAGAGCTTTCTGACCCTGCATAGACAACAATGCAACTACCACGTTCAAGGCCCAGAAAGGTAGTAAGGACATTGTTAAAATAGTCCATGTGACATCAGGGGTTCAACCTTCATTTTATGAAGATATGAGAATACTTTTTGTGTGCAAAAAAAAAAGAAAGATAGTGAATTCATTCAACAATTTCTTCTCTTCCCTGTCAGCCCTCAAAGTGCATTCACAACAGTACCACGCATGCATGTGGTTCTGCTGACGCAGGAGCCAGAGTTCTGACGTAGAACCCGGACGCGCTGCGCCTTGTTTGCAAGCAGAGGAATACACACGCATGCATTTTGGTACTCTCGTGAATGTGCAGTGAGTAATTAATGACAGAATTTTCATTTTTGGGTGAACTATCCCTTTAAGATTTTGTTCTGGTGTGGCACCTGGAGCAGATATATGATGTGTTCCCACAATGAAGAGTGAACAAAGAGGAGAATGCTTTGAATTTAAAAGAGTCACTGAATTAGCAGTGAGCCATTGTTAGCGGGGCCACAGGTTAATCCCAGGGCTCCAGTTAGAAGGGGCGGAGGTGGATTTTACAAGTCCAGGCTGAAGAGCCGCAGTGGGATTGCCCTCACCAGCTGCCTGCTTTACAAGGCAAACTTCAAAGATAAGGCCTTGACTTACCCCCCTCCAGTACTTGCCGCACCACCAACTACACTCCTTCTTTGGGTTACACAGTGTGAGTAAAGCAACATGTTTCACGGTTCACTTGTAATGACTTCTTCTGAGTGACACACTCCAGTATGTGAGAAAATGCCTGTTGACTAATGGGGTTTTAGGGAAACCTGTCACACAAGATGATGGCAGGGCTCCACAGACCCCCAAATATGATGACCCCCTTCCTAATATATACTGTAAAAGCAGACATATATTTTCATACATAAAGACTGATTTATACTATGTGAGAAAAAAACTGAAAAAATAAAGACATGTTGTCTGTCAAATTTAATAACCGACTTTTATATTATTACTGTACTAGTTACGTATTAAAATATTATCTGGAAAATACTGATTTTGTAATAACTCTTTTTTGAACTACTGTAATATTACAGTAATATTAGCTATATTCACCTGAGGAGAACGTTTTTTTAATTCAACTCAATTTGTACAGTGCTTTTCGCAATAGGTATTGTTCCAGAGCAGTTGTAATGTTAACTTTGACAGCCCTAAAAAAATACATAATACAAAATAATCTCAAATTGTAGAACTATATTATAAAAGTATTATTTTATATTATAAAATAATAAAAACATACATATTTTTCCTTTATATTATATTATCAATGTTTGATGAGGATTCTGTAAGGTAGATCTGTCAGAAAAGCTCTGAAGGGCACAGAATTCCAGAAGTTTCTAAACGGTTCACTTTTTCCATCTCAAAACCCCACTGACCTGCTTTGCCGTCTGAATTCTTTGGCTTCCGAGGAACGGGACGATTACGGCATGGAATTTCAGTGAAGACTGACTTCATTTCTGCTCCTGAAATAGAGGGGTTGAAAGTCAGAGGCAAGGCCGCAGAAAGGCAATTACCAGTCAGCAGTGGAGAGATGAGATAGACGCCAGATTATTATTCCTAGTTCAACTGAGGGGTTGAGTTTACGTGACCTACTCTAAACAGCATTGCCCTATTTTACAGAAACAGCCCCAGTCTATAGATCTGACTGATGAGGTCACAATTCATTACTAATTAGACCTCTTGCGTGACACGTAAAGTGATATGCATGTTAAAATGAGACAGCTGATAGGGTCTCTCGATCCCTCTCTCTCTCCCTCCACCCCTAAATCCATCTCCTCTTACACTAAATGAGCCAGCTGCGGAGGCCCTGTCCTGTCAGGCGTGGTTGCTGCCTGCTGGCCAGTCCCCAACTATGGCTAGACAGCGGAGTCCCCCGATAGTTGACTGGACGTACGTCCGGCAGGCATCCATAACAACCGTCTGCAGTCCTGAGCAAAGCATTAGTGATGGATTTTGACAGTTTCCCGACCGATGCCAGAAGAGTTCAACTACATAGGGCACAAGGAGAAGGGCACTTAATGCTGGGATGACGTTTTACCACAGATGTTCCAGAGAAAGTAATGATAATCAGATGTAGAGAAGAACGAACTACCGATCTGCTCTGATTTCTAGACGTTAAGTTTCAGAATACACAGCATTACTGCAATGAGCTTATGCAAGTTTGCTCAAACTGATGACACAAGTCTTCGTTATTATTTCTTTCATCTAAATGAGTCATTCTACTTATGTATATGGGCCATTCTACAGAATTGGTACAAACTGCTGTCCCACAACCAAAAAACACATTTAAAGAGCGTTTAACTATTGAAAAATCTTAGATGTTTAATTAGATCCTTCTATTATCTATTGAAACCCACAATAATATTTAAAATATTAGTAAGATTAATATATATAAAGTCATAATTTATTGGGTACTTTCAGTTGGGGAAGTGGTCGTCCCGAACCCTGACCTTTAAATTTCAACTTATGAAAATGATATTGAAATTATTTTTTTATTTTTTTCCATTGTTGTTTTTTAAAGTATATTTTAGATTTTTTTTATTTTTTTTAAGTGAAGTAATTAAAAATATATATATATTCTTTGTAAATTATGAAGCTTTATGTAAAAAAAAAAAAAAAAAAAAAAAAAAGAAAAGTGTCCCGCATTCCTCATGTCACTACCGAGACAGTGTATGTTTTAGTCCATTGGCTGAAACTGATTTTAACTACAGCCCTAAATTTATGATCAGGAAATATTCCTGTGCCAGTAGATAGGTCCCATCACTTTGAGGTAAATGTATTAAAAAGTCTGAAAAATCTGTGTGTAACTTTAAGGAACTTCACTACCGAACACTTTTTTTCTGTATTCCATAACATTTAGTTTTTATATGTGTACCACTGTTCAGAACTGTGCTAGCTAACCTGAGCTAGGTACAAAAGTATCTAAAATTGTCACTACCTAAACAGTCACAACCAAAACATGTCATCATTGTTTCAGTAGTGACAAAAGGGAACACATAATCCTCATATTTGGGGAAAATAAACAATTTTAGTACAGTAATTTTTTTTTATTTTAGTATGTTTTAGTAGTGTTTCAGTATGTGAGTTAAAATTCTGTAATGTGATGTGGTTGCTACCAAAGCATTACTGTCACTACAGAAAATGTGCCGTCACTACCTGAACATGGGATGTTTTGTCAAAAATAAAGTATACTGAATTATCAACTAAGATGTTATGGTAGTTTTTGGTTCATTGTATATTCAAACTAATGAATCCTTAACTTTGAAATCAGTATTATAAACTTTTTGCCTGGATTCGAAATACAACAAATCTCATAAATTACACTTGAAATATTGTTTAAAATGTCATTATTATTTATTTACCTCAGAGACATTTTATTAAAATAGCAAAAAACTATATTTATAATTTAGATGTAAGCAAAATTTGAATAGGTCAATATAACCCTTCTAATTAAATTATCATTACTGTGTTTCGGTAGTGACAAATTTGGGGAGAGGACAAATATTCCAAAACTTTCTGAAAAAAAATTAGAGAATTGACTGCACAATTACTAGAAATCTGTACCTTGGATATTATACAATTTGCATACATACAATTTTTTTGGGGAAAAAGACATTGTTTCCAACTCTGATTTTGGACCAGTTCTGTAAAATGGCCCATATGAGGACATGAAAATGTATACTCAGCTCTACTGTTTGTTTCTATAAGGAACCTTTTAATTGTAATTTAATTTTAATTTCACAACTTTGGTTTGACCAGGGGCCTGTACCATGATGGTGGCTGAACAAACTCAGGGTTACAGGATTAGTTTTGAGTTGACAAAACCAAACCACTCCAAACCGGCTTTGTTGGCACCATGAAGCTGATCATCAACTTTCTCTGTCAACTCAGGCTCGATCCTGAGTTAATTGGGCACGTGCACTTGAAAGTGTGACATCAGTAATGAACAGCCAATCACATGCCTTGAAACTGTGATTCACTTCTTGCGAGAGAGTCAGTGTGATTCACTACCAAAGATTAAAAGATTTAACAATATGAAGAATTTAAACACATTTACATGAGATGAAATGATCTTTCCAGGAAAGAGGGAAACTTAAAGAAAACATCTTGTCATTTAAGTGCAAGTAAAAGTAGTAAAGTTCGTTTATAGAGTTGATCATAATTTATAGGTATAAAAACACTTAAAAATCTAAGCTCATACGTAGTCATGTTTAAAGCTATTGATTCTAAAACTTATTAATATTGCATATTATCTATATGTTTATATTAATTTAAAATAAAAGATTGATAATTACTATGAAACTAAGCTAGCTTATGTAATGGATTAAGGGTATAATAATTAAATAAATCAATCATAAAATAATTATAAAAAAGAAAAATCTGACATTTTATCTTTAAAAATGTTTTACTATGTAGCATCCTTTCATTTGTAGGAAGAGAAACTGGGGGAGTGGCTTTATTACATCAAACATGTGTCACTTTACTTGAAGCTGATTGGTCAGCTCTTAGTCCATTAGACTAGATTAGCCAAAGACTTAGACTAGTCTTTCTTAAAGTATGTACACCTAAAGTCCCACAGGTATCAAGCTCAAGTACCCCTTCATAAATGCCAAACCAGCAAAAATAATTTACTGTATATTACACTAGGTTTCATTAAAAAAAGAAAGAAAGAAAGAATGCTTTTCCACCCAAAAAAAAATCCAAGAACTGCATCTAACAGCTATAAAATTATCATCAGCATTATTAAAATAAATGAATGCATTCAAATCAATGTAAAATTAATTACCCAAAAATCATGTGATTGATTTTATTAGATTTTTTATTTATTTATTTAAAGTAATTATATATTCTGATGGCCCTAATTATTTTTAAATGCATGTTTTAAGTGTTTTTAATAGGTAAATTTAATTAAATGTGAATTTAAATATAAATTTTAAATTTAGAAATACATTTTTATTGACAGAGAGCTATCATAATCCCTAAAAGTTATCATTTCTATACGGATCTGATGTATTATTGAATGAACAGATTTTATGCTACATATTCATACAGAAAAAGGGAATAAGCACAAAAACATGCCAAACTATGCCAACGTAATGGCAAAACACACACCCAGAAGTGCCTATTGATTAATATGTACCAGGTGGATGTGTGACAAAAGATGACATTATTGTAAGACCCCCAACACTCCAAAGCAATCAGATTCCCTAAATGAGATCTATCTTTGAGATGGTCCTGATTACGGTTCAGACGTCTGAATAAATCTGACCTGTTGGTAATGACAGTCAGAGTTCAACTGCTCATCAGTGTCCTAATGTGTTTAAAAATCTAATGAGATAATTGTTTTTATGTGTCTGTAAAACGAATGGATGTACAAGACGTATAAAGACCCTTTAACCTACAAGCTACTCATTCTCTGATCACTTTGTTTTCTTTTCTTTCAGAACAAAGACAGAGAAAGAAAAACTGCATTAAGAAGTTAATGATGAGGAGAAGAGAGAGAAAAAGAGCATTTCCATCACATCTGCCTGAAGGAGCGCGCCGGAGCGTACTGAACATTTTGTGTAAATTTGCTGTAAATAAGCTGTTTAATCGAATGCAACACTTCTTAACCAAGTTACAACTTCCTGGTGGACGGCGTCATAATGGACAACTACACTGCATTCCGCACTTCCATATTTAGAAACCAAAAACTTTGTGAATTTCATCATAACCTCTTTTTTGTTTTATATAGAGGTGATATACTTTTATACAAAAGGGATACGGATGAAGAGGATGATTTGTAATTTAAAAACAGCGAAAGAAAAAAAATGAAAGAAAAAAGGGACTTGCTTGCTAACCAGCAAAGAACCGGTTTGTGTTTTTTTGGGTTTGTCTATGATGCATATATTTTGTAACACTGAACTTTATTTACAAATGTCAAAACATAGGCTTTTTTTCCTATCAGAACACATTCCTACAGTTCGATCAAACATTAATGTCAAGGAGTTGTTTGTTATTCTGTAACAATTATTGTTATTTTTATTTATTTATGCCGACTTAAATTTCAAAACATCGTTTAAACCAAATTATGTATATGTCAGGGTTGAAAAATCTTGAGTTTGAGGGCTTAAATGAATTCAGACAGACTGTGAGAGGTCTGCAAGAGTAACTGAGAAACAGTGTTGGGCAGTAACTAGTAAGTAGTTACTGTAATAATATTACTTTTTGCAGTAACTAGTAGTGTAACTAATTACTAATAAGATTTCAATAATTATATTACAGTTACCATCCATAAAACAGCTTAATTACTTTTGATGCCTCAACCAGCTGATTTAAAATCCAACAATCAAATCATTCCTAGATTTATTTTCATAATTTTCACAACTCGCACATGCATGTGATGTCCCCAGTGCAGCAGACAAACATGGAATATGGAAAAGCTTATACATTCAGCAGATAGAAATATTGCATTATATTGATTTTAGGAAAAACGATGATCATGAGCACTTTTGTGTAAGTTGTGGCTTTACTTTACTCTGACATTACATCCCACCCACATCTCTCTGATCAGCATGCGGTACATTATATAATTAAAAATCTTTTTGAAAAATTAAAGTTTCTTACAAACTTAATGAAATATAATTGTATATGGGTAACGGAGAAATGACAATTAGCTTCAAGCTACACATAACAATTAATGAGATTAATACACATGAGATCATGAACACTTCTTCTTGAATGGCAAAGTCAACAGTCCTCTTACCAATTTCTATCAAATCTTACAAAGCTCAAAATTTTAATTGTAGTGTAACTCATACCGGTAGCTATGATTATCTGGTAGAGATTTTCGACTATCGTCTCTATCGCGGTTACACATGACGTTGCTGTGCCATGTGGTCACAAAAATTTTTTGGTTGGAGGCTTTTTTATAGATTGCTGTTTAAAAACAAGTGATTTTAAGGTGTTTAAATGCAATCAGCAGCAAAAGAGAACTCACTTCGCTATATGTGAGCGCCATCTGAGAAATTAGACCATTTCATAGAGCGCGGGAGTATTGAACAGAGTTATTTTTTCCACTTTATAGGCCTTGAACAGTTAAATACACACCTGTATGTGTCAAAATGCCTGTCTTTGCCAGTGAAAGCAAACAGCTGAGAAAGAAAGCACATGTAACAGTATAGTGGATCCGGGCAGCTCTTAAAGTGACAGCAGCCATTCATGTTAATCAAGCAACAAATGAGAGAAAATCTCTCACTGCTCTTGACAATCACTTTTGTAACTTTGATAAGAAATATATATTTAATTTATACAGTGAAGAATATGCAGTATTTTATTCATTTGATTACTTTATGTATGTAGCATTTCTGGTTTATATGTTCTACAGTAGTTTTTTTGTCCTATTGCTTGTAATTAGTTTCTTATTCTTATTTAATCGCTGACTGTTTACTTATCTTCAGTGAGCTTAAGTTTTTTTTAGGCTAATATTCGTTTTTTCTGATATTGACACTAGTGACAAGAACTATGAAGTTTTTATGGTTTCATAAAAACCTAATTTAAAGCAAAAATAACAATATTGTGATATATACACTCTAAACAAATGCTGGGTTGTTTCAACCCAATGTTGGGTCAAATATGGACTAACCCAACTGTTGGGTTAAATTTTGGTTACATTTTTAAATTAGCTTTTTAACCCAACAGTTGGGTTAGTCCATATTTGACCCAACATTGGGTTGAAACAACCCAGCATTTTTTAGAGTGTATTGTTACCGTGAAATAAAATTATCGCCCACCCCTACTATACACTGACCATTATTCCTAAATCCAAGCAAGTAAACAGGTAATCTAAAATTTTTCAAAAATGTGATTTGCTGTAGTGCTGAATGTCACTATCCTAAAACCGTCAGCATTGTTCTCGTCTCCTCTCAGTAAACTCTTACTAAAGTCTCCCACACTCAGTGGATCCCTCTGTTCAGCTCAGCCATATTTCGCTCAATATAGAGTCTGTGAACTGTAACCAGTCTAGTGCTCTCAGATCATTTAACTCACTCCTTCCCTCTCCATCTGCTTCTCTTATCCAACATCAACAGCGCTTCATCATCCCCTGTGGCTGGAGACGGCACTGTAGAGACTAGTTGCCATGGCAACAGAACTGGTCCACTTATACCACTTTCTGCATGGAAACAGGTCCAATATTCATACAGTTTAACTAAGGTTAAGAGATAGATAGCTGAATGGCACAGAAAATGGAAACATGTTTCTGGGACACAAGGCTTTAAAATCAAGTTTGAGAAAGTTCAATTAAGTTGTAAATGGTATCTAGCGTGACGCTTTTAGCATCAAAAACAAAGGTTTGATTTCCAAGCCAATGCATGAAACCATAAAATTCAAACCTTTAAAGCAATGCGAGTTGCTAAAGATAAAAGTGTCCGAATAAATGTACTGCACACTGACCTGTACGGTGGATGTCGTTGGATATTATTGTCAAAGAAAGAGTCAGACCTGTAATTAAAGACATCAGAAAGGTATTAGAAACTTTCCACATATGATGAACTCAACCAAAAATGTTACAAACAAGTATGACCTTAAAAATGATCTGAATGATTTCATATGAAGTACAATACAAACCTTCTCTAAGTGGAATAATACGCGCCCTAAATATGCTAACCAGCAGCACCTGCATACTGAAGAGGGAAAGGGTATGAATATCCTCAGGTCATTCCTTTGGAAATGGGCTTGGAATCGGAGTGTTTTGTATGGTCCAAAAATGAAAAGCCAGGATCCTGTGACAATTCTTAATATGTGTCAATCAAAATACTTTGTCTTTTCTGTTATTGGATTTCAAACAGATTTGAAGTGCATAAAGATGTTCTTTTCTTCCATTCCGCTGTCTTTTTTGTATTAGATCTGTTTTGTTTTCTCTCAGAGTGTTTATGTATCAGTCCATATCTCAGACTTCTGGTAAAGCTTTCACAGATCCAGCAGGGAGTCTTGTGAATACCACAGGACGGGAAGCAGTAAAGCAACGATGGAATGACAGGTGTCCAAAGAGCCTGGCTGGCCCGTTCCAGCTCTCTCTAATTCTCGTCCCTGCAACACACATACACACACACCTGTGGGAGAGAGAAAACTCCTTTTCTGTGACTTGAGTTTATGCCAGCTCCCTCTGTGTCAACATTTCTAGTCAGAAAACACGATCCTGTCCACTTCCTTTTATTGCCATCAGCCTGCAATGGAAAATTGGGTTTGCAGAGGGGCCCATCTGTTGGACATTAAGCAGCCACCTGGAGCTTTAGCCAATCATGAAATTAAACATGAGTATTAAAGAAAAATGAAAAATCTCCACTCCTAGACATGTGGGTCGCCCAGTCTTTGCCGCATTTAATCAAATTTCCGACAAGAAGCAAAGGCTTAGTTCACAAGGTTGTCACCCACCACCCCACCAGTAAAACCACTCCTGTTTTTCCATGTTTTAAAAGAATAAATAAAAGCTGGTATATATGAATATTAGCCTAAACTGGTTTTTGAAGTATACTAAACGAAACTAATTTTCTTGAGTGATTTTGTTCCAATAGGATTACCTAAACATTCTTAACAAGAACATTTACTTGAAAAGCCAAACAAAAAGAAAAAAAAAATGTTTTAATCCACTGGAATATTTTAGATGCATGCTTAAAACAATAAAAAAAAATAGCTTCTCTTAAATTCCCTTTGAATTACATTGTATATTTTTTTCTGAGTCAGTATTTTATGTAATTAAGGTTCTCAGAATAATTTATCCTTTTTATAGGATGTTTATATATTTCTGAGCTGAAAACAAGACAAAAAGAAATTATTAAGAGAATCATTTTTGCATAGAACAGTTCGAGTTAATTGTAGATGCAGAATCAGCATAGAGGCTGTTTTTATGGGCTGGTTTCAAAGACATAAAATGTAGTCCTTGGCTAAGGTGCATTCTCAGAGCAGAAACACCATTAATAACATTTAAGTCCACAACTAAGTGTAAACTTTTCAAAAGCCAGACAACTTTTTCTCGAAACGTATATATCAAAATGATGCACTAAATAAGCACAGAAGCAAAGCTATGAACCTGATTCTTGACAGTCTTCTTTTTTAATTATTAAATGTAGTATATTTTGTTGAATAACAGCTACTTTGACTTCAGAGAGTTGGAATTTTGTACAGAAAAAATAATTGGGTGTTTCTTCTACTTTTGGCCATATGAACCTGTCTAGAAAAATTATTTAGATTATTTCAATTTTCTACTTACATTGTGCATACAATATCTTTTTGGTTTATCATTTCACTCTTTGTAACAATATTTTATGTTTTAAGATTTAAAGTCATCATCAAAAAAATCTATACATACATAGACCATTTACAAAATAGCAAAAATATAAATATATATATGAAGGTATGGAAAAACGTTTCAATGACAATTATAATATGACGTTCACTAAAGAAAGAAACCTAAATACAAAGTTAGTTGTTAGTTGTCATTCAAATCAACACCTGTGACATAAAAGTGTATATAGTTGAAAAAACACCCAATTCCAATAAAGCACAAAGGAACTTAACTCAACAGTAGAGGAAAAAGTCAGCAAATATTCCTGAAGCTCTGAGCCCAGATGTTGGGTTTGAAAATGAACCAGACATAAAGATACTGATCAGATCCTTCAATGAGCTACATTCAAGTTTTGAATAAGGATTCTGGGAGTTATTTCTTGACATTCTCCCAAGCCACAAGACCCCCTATACCCCCTTCAAACACACTAATTTCATCCATCATTTAATATCTGGAAATTGCTGATTTTACTCCGACAGGCTCTGAATAGCATGCTTTTGTGTTAAGGCTCTCTGCGAGGTGCTGGAATTGGACGAAATTAGTCTCTCTCCTCTTCCTTCTCCTCTTTCTCCCTCTACATCTCCTTCCCATTCCTTGTTCCGCCTGGAAAAGCCATTGCAGAATAAAACCCCACTTCCTCCCGCAGAGGCTGCAGCCAGACATGGAGCGGTCACACATGTTCCCCCTCACTCCACATAGACGGAAACAGCTCTCCATGGTGAACATACACACATATTTGCTCACACGCCTGATCTGGTGTGTGGTTCGGCGTTTGGTCTGAGGACAAATTGCATTGGGGGCCACAGGGGGTTTCTGGACCCATAGCCGGAAGATTTCAGGGGTCTGAAAAGAACCAGACTCATTGGCAGATGGTCAGCTATCCAGCAGTCACCATGGGACAACAACTCAAACGAGGCTTCAGTCATTATTAAAAACTCATGATTTGGTTTTTGTCTGTAACAAAGCAAAGATGTAATCGAGACTCTATTGGATGACCAATAAACCCATCAGCTTTGTCAGCATTTAGGTCTTGCTCATAGAATTTCATGTTTCAGCAGAGTCTCATTATTCGTGTTGGTCTTTCAAAATCAGGGCAGAGAAAAATTATTTTTGATGTAGTATCTACAATAGTATATTTATCCGTCCAAAGTGGTCACTTCATGGTCTCGTAAACAGAGCCAACTGGCTGATCTATAGGTATGTATAAATTTGGAACATGAAACATTCGACATGCAGTTACCAGTTTTCCAATGAAACGCTGAATCAAACAGACTCCTGGGTGGTAATATAAACCTGAGGGAATGTACACACATTCCGTATTTATGAAATATAACTTAATGCAAAATAAACACGAACACTTCGAATATCAGCGTGGCACACTTGAACAAACAAAAAGGAAATGAGTAGAGTACTTACATTTTAGACACAACATTCCCAAAGATACTTTGTCTATTTTCAACGAACATATATCCAAATCTGGAACCACATCAGAATCATCCGTCGCCTTTCTTCAAGTAACACATGTTTGTGGTGTTTCTGAATGAATCAGTGTTTGAACGAATCGTTTAAGTGAATGATTTAACGTACTAATAATACACGAAAAGTCACTTATTCGCCACCTACTTGTGTAGGGATTTATAAAGACAGAACTTATACAGATTTGTCCGAGACAGTCACTAAATAAGGTAAATGAGCAAAATGTATCTGTTTTAATTTCTTATGGCTATTTAGGCGTCATGCTAATTGCGGAGGGTAAAAAGCTTTGAGTTCTGTGTGGAATCTACAATGAGCTAAATTTGTTTGTCTATAGGTCTGTTTTAAAGTGCCTCTATGGATTTTTGAAAATTACCTTTTATGCAGTGTGTGACAGCTCTAAGTGAATGAAAACATCCTACAAAGTTTTAAATCTGAAAGTGCACCGTATAAAGTTATTTGGTGCATCAAGCTTTGAGTTCTGTGTGGAATCTACAATGAGCTAAATTTGTTTGTCTATAGGTCTGTTTTAAAGTGCCTCTATGGATTTTTGAAAATTACCTTTTATGCAGTGTGTGACAGCTCTACGTGAATGAAAACATCCTACAAAGTTTTAAATCTGAAAGTACACCGTATAAAGTTATTTGGTGCATCCCAAACGGGATATATCGCCCTCCGAAGGGCACTTCGGAGTGTGGTGCATCCCAAACGGGATATATCGCCCCCCAAAGGGCACTTCGGAGTGAAAACAATCATGGCCGCCATATTGAAGGGTCGTTCCAAACCGAAGAGCTCAAAACTGGCCACTTCAAAGGGCCCTTCAGAATGAAGGATTTCGAAGGGTACAACTGATGGATACTTCGGGCTCCATGTTTCTTTGCGCAGATACTTTGTATGATGATGGCGCCTCAGTGTGGGCACGTGATGATGATGCAGAAGGGCACTTCAAGGAACAGTTGTTTGGTCCCCTACTACACCTATTAACCTTTAGAAGCTCTCACTCCGGAGGGTAAACCCTTTGAAGGGATTAGGGCATAGGGATGAGCCCTTCGAATGGAAGCAGGGAATGCCTCTCTAAAGAAAGAGTCGACTCTGAATCATTGAAATAAGTCGTTTTTAAAACGAATCCCAAGCCGTTTCATGTTGACGTCAACATGAAACATTAGCATATTGCCTGCGCAAATCTGGGAAACCATGACTTTCGCTTTGGTCTGAATGATAATGCAAATTAATTATTTGCCACTAGGTGCAGCTTTTGGAGTGGTAAAATAGCTGTTTCCCCGGTAACGCTGTACACAAAGCAGCACTGCGCTCACAAACGCTGCTGTTTCATGTTGACGTCAACATGAAACATTAGCATATTGCCTGCGCAAATCTGGGAAACCATGACTTTCGCTTTGGTCTGAATGATAATGCAAATTAATTATTTGCCACTAGGTGCAGCTTTTGGAGTGGTAAAATAGCTGTTTCCCCAGTAACGCTGTACACAAAGCAGCACTGCGCTCACAAACGCTGCTTTATCAGGCATTACAGGCATGATTAAATGAAATGAACAATCACCGCAGATTAGCGTCAGGCAAAGGAGGGATTTGGAAAAATGAATCGTTCGAGCAAATAAGGTAAAAATAAATGCATATTATAAGACAATGAAAGTGTTTTTTGACCTTGCATGCATGTCAACCCCTTGTTGGGGACTCCCAAAACCAAAATATGAACCTTTCATAATTCTTAATAGGGGCACTTTAAATTGAGAAGCCAACTGAAAAAAGACTGTGGTCTCTAGAGAGATAAAGAGAATGAAAAAAAAAAAGTAGACAACCACAACGAAGAGGGAACATATTTGAGTGTCATTTTGTGTATCAAGCTGAAATATGACACACAAACTCAGATTGACTTATTTATTTTCTATGTGGCTTAAATATATTCAACATCAAACCACACAGACAGTATTCAGGTCAGTGTATCCGGTATGGCCTGAGACCAGCTGGATGTGCTGATGGTGCTCAGTGAAGCACTTGGTTTTACAGGGCTCAAGTCCCAGGACAGAACCTCCATAAATGAGGAATCTGAAGAATGTGGAGCACCGTGGTTGGTGTTCTTGGACAGAGTTGACAACTTTGACCCATAAAAAAAAAACCACGTCTTTTTAAAGGCTATTTTTGCTCTATAAAGATTGATTACTTGTGAATCATCCTCTGTCCTGGGTGTACTGTATAGATTTACATATAAAATATATATACACACAAGACACTGGAGCTGCACTGTGTTGTCCCAAAGGTTTCATCCAAGTGATAGATCTTTCTGGATATGTTAAATGTCTCTAGATTTAATGCACACAAGATGTGTAACAGGTCAACGTCTTTTTCATGAGAAGTATCATAGTATTGGAAGGTAGAATCTGAGACTGTGAACGTTGAAATCTTAATGTCAAGAAGTGACAGATTTACATCACTGTACAATCTGCTGATGTCCATTGTTTGTGTTATGTTGACAGGCTTTGATGTGTCAGATCAGATGCCCCTTGTCACCTTCCACACGTGGGAACTATTGCTGTAAAGCTGAACGAGATGACAGCATACAGTATGACTCCTAAAACTGGGTGATTGCCATTGAGTACTAGATCTGTTCAACGTTGTTACAAGGTCTGTAATAATTTGAAAAGATGCTTTAAAGGGTTCAATACGAGTTAAACTTAGCTGACAGCATTTGTGGCATAATGTGGTATATATAATTTTGACTTGTTCCTCTTTCTCATTAAAAGAGAAGAAGAAACGAAATCGAGGTTGCAGTGAGGCACCTGCAATGAAAGTGAAAATGGCCAATTTCTGGACGATTTAAAAGCATACTCTCTTAAAAATAAAGGGGTTTTTATTGGTATTTTTGAAAAACCTTTAACATCCTTGGAACCTTTCCATTCCACAAAAGGCTCTTTAGATTTTTTTTAAATATTCTTCACAAAAAAAAAGGTTCTTTTAAGAACTGTTCACTAAAAGGTTCTTTGGGGAACCAATAATTGTTCTTCTATGGCATCACTGAGAAAACCCCCTTTTGAAACCTTTATTTTTAAAAGTCTAAATGTGAAGCTTATCATTTTAGAAAAACATACTATGAATTTTAATTAGTTTAAAATAATAATTTATAAAATAATTAAATCATATTTACTAACTTTTTCTGTTAAAACTTGTGTATTATTTGATCTGTAATTTTGTTCTTGTCATTTTTGTGGTCATTTTAGTTTTTTTCATAAAATCTGTGCATTCAGTAAATTTCACACATAATTACAACTGTAAATGCATTTCACACACAATTACCAAAACACAAGTAAAATATTGGATTAAACATGAAATTTAGAGAAACTGAAATAGTATTTTCTTGTATCTGACATTACACTTTAATGGACAATTTTGGATATATACAAATGAAACAAAATACTAAATACTAGGGGAAAACAAAATAAAGAAATAAATGGACAAATTATAAAAATATTATTTAAATGATTATAATAATTATTAATTACCATTAATGATATTATTAATAATATTATAATGACTATGTTCTTCTTAAAACACCCATTAACACTATGCTAATAATAATAATTAGTAGTAGTATTGTTTGTCTTATACAATTTATTTTCTTTCCTAAGGAGGCTGTTTCATAATCATTTATTTGTTTGATACAATTTCTTTATTTTTAATAGTATTGTTATTTTATTTAATAGTATTATTATTTTTACAAAATGTGTCTTAAGTCAAGGAGGCTTTCATAATCATTTATATATATTTTCAATAATACTCACATCTTACAAGATCATAAAACGTAAAACCGATTAATAATGATTTATTTATGCAAGTTCAACAAACAAACCAAGAAAAATGTATTAGTTCAAACAGACATTAAAATCACACTGTCAAAATAAAAAAAAAATGTTAAAAAAAGTAGATATTGGGCAAAAAAGTTACTCTCTACAGAGGAAGCGCAACATATTCCAGCCTCTCTCTGCTGTCGTCTCTGTCCAAAAGTTCACTGTTCACTCTTTCCGGACTATCTAAATCCAGCTGTGCTCTTGGGTTGTTGGATGCTCGTATTCTCTTAGTGGGACATATTTTCCTCAGCTGGTTCTGATAGCTCATTGTGTCCTTTTGAATCTTCTGGCCCACATTAGGGGCATCCAGACTGTTGTTCTCTTCCATGGGATGTTCAACAGATGTTTCAGTGCATCCTGGGATCCGATCGGCCAATTCCCTGCTGTCGTCCAGTGTGTCCTGGTTAGCGGCATAGTTTAGTTTTGCTTTGATTCCTGCATAATATTTAATCAAAGTCTCATTAGCAGTGTTTGACTGATTATTTATCAATGAAATGGTTTTATAGTGAACTAACCTGAGATTTGTTCTTCACTGTCAGCATATAGGTCTGGTCTATCAGGGGTGTCCACAAACTCTGGGCTGTCTAAATCCATTGCTCGTCTGTGGCTCTCCTGCTGGTGTTTATCAGTATCATGTGGTTTACCAGTCTGGCCTTTGAGGTTCATTCTACCAGCAAAACTCTGAATTATGGGATCCAACTCTTTCATAAAGTCCAGATTTTGTCTGCCTCTGTCTGTGACCACAGAGTTGTGTTTTTCTAACAACATCTGGGTCCTTGGAGGTCGGTATCTCCCGTTCTGCTCAGGTCTGTCCATTTCCTGACTACTAATGTCCTCCATCACTGCACAGAATTACAATTTGAGTTGTATAGCTTTTAGTCTGTGCCTGTTAGAGCTTTAAGAGCATAAAAACAAAATTCACTTTTATCAGATACAACTATTGTTGAAAGGCTTTTTTCAATGTTCTTTTTTTTAAAGAAGTATCTTTAAAAGTCTGCATTTATTTGATTCAATATTATTTCAATTTAAAATAACAGTTTTTGTTTCAATATATTTTAAAATGTACTTTATTCTTGTGATGGCAATGCTGAATTTTCAGCAGCCATTTTGCCAGTCGCATGATCCTTCAGAAATTATTCTAACGGGCTGATTTGGTGCGTAATAAATATTTCTCATTATTATCAATGTGACAAACAGATTATTTGATGAATAGAAAGTTAAAAGGAACAGCATTTATTTACCATAGAAATCGTTTGTAACATTATAAATGTATTTACTGTTATTTTGGGTCAATTCCATGCATCCTTGCGGAATAAAAGTATTAATTTCTTTAAAGTAAATGAAATCAAATAGAAAATAGCAAAAATCTTACTGACCCCAAACCTAGTGTATGTATTCCAGCAGATTTGATCACATATACAGTATAAAACTTCATACCTGTTGCTTTATCAATATGTTTGCTTGAGCCCTCAGTCATGTCTATGTCCATGACAGTCCTGTCCATACTCATACTCTCTATATTAACACACAATATCACATCAGCAGATATAAACAGAAGCAGGGTGAGAACAGATGGAACTATTGCTTACCTGCTGAGTTCCCATAATGCTCCTGTAATGCCTTGTGGGTGTCTGTTGACCAGAGTATGTCAGTGAGTTTTTTTTACATTTTTATAAAGAATCTTTTTTTAATGGGAACAAAGTTAATTTCAACAAATCACATTAAATCCAGCAGCATACCTTTGAGTGTTGTTCTCAGCTGTAACCTCTTGTCGCTGTCGCCTTCTGAAGCAAACAGTATATTGAATTAGTTACACGCCTGCAGACAATTATGATTATATTTTACAGGCTGTCAAATAACTTACAAATGGCAAAAGTCATCTAACAGCTTGCATGCAGAAGTATAATGAATATAATACAGATCTCTACCTCTGCTGTCTTCAGCCGATGTTCTTTCTGCTAATCTGCTGTCTGTTTAAAAAGGAAATTAAGAAATAGTAAATATCTAAACAATATATACTAAGTTAAGCTTTATTTTTCATGTGTTTTACTTGACTGATCACCTGAGTTGCTACTCTCAACTGATCTCTCTTCAGCAACATCTTAGGAAAGACAAGTTAGAGAGATCATGTGTTTTAAAAAATCAGTAGACAAACTAATATTCAAACATCAGTCTTTTTATTGAATTGGACAGAACAAATTGTTAATTTACCTGCAAGATCTACCAGATTTGGTTTGGGTGTTTTATTGGAAAAGTCTAAATGAATTAAAACAACTTTTTAGACTCATGAATTTTTAAAGCAATATATCCAAAGTGCAAACATATATGTTTTGATAAAAAATAAAATAAAATAATAAGAAATAATAAAACATACCAGCAGAGTTGACAACAATTTCTGGGGCTTTACATTCTGTAAATAGAGAAAAATCATGTTAAATAAATAAATGTCATGTTTAGGACTGTCCGGAATTTCTTAAATCATCAAACATACACGTCTGAATATTACATCAGTTTTTCCAACACCGTCTAATCACTGACCTGCAGTCGGATCTGTCGGATGTACAGGATCCAGAATCTTCTCTGTTGCTAGGGCCATTTCTAAGGAAAAAGGGCTCCCGAGGTCAGAAACCAACAACCAATAGCACAGCGGTCTATTTTCTGATTTCTATTAATTGCTCTTCCCCTTCACTTCCATGCAACAGACTCAAGAAAGGTCATACTGAAGAAACAATTCACAGACCTGAGAGCTGTGTTGGATCAGTGTGGTCAAGAGGCAGATTCATTTCAAATGCATCTGAGGAGAGAATGTACAAAATCAGAATAAATAATGAATGTAACATGGATGTAAATGATTCCTTTAGCAGGAAAAAAACACAAAACAAAACATGCTCACCCTTCAAAAAACGTAACAAATCTCCACTTCCTTCTGAAAATAAGAGTGAATTATGTCATTATGAATTATTTAGAATAATTCTATTTTCAAAGCAAAGCAAATATATAATTGTGCTAAACATAATTATAATTAGAAGAATATGTTGTCTAAAACCTAAACACAAATCAAATGAAGTTTACCTCTCATAGCTGCTGAATGGACAGCGTTTATCAAGACTAGAAGAGTCAGGCAGATGTTGGTCCTGAGCCAGGAGGGAGAACGAAAGGGAAAATTACCAACATCTTCCAAATGTCGATGTAAATTAAATGTAAACACATTTAATATTGTCGAGCTGTTGTGCAATATCATAAATTTTACACCAGCACTCATAAAACAGTATTCGAAAACTAGTAACACGGATCTTGTATTTTATTGTGGAAAATCCTGACTAAACATATCACAACAAAATAAATCCAAATAAAAGGAAAAGAGAGTAGTTTGGTAACTTACAGCTTCATGGTGAGTGCTGATGTCCTTCTGAAGGGCCCATGTGTCATTTGTGGCTTTATATGAGTGCAGGTCGCTGATCTGGACAATAGGGTCATAGATGACCAGTTACAGGGACACTGGAGACGAGGCCTGAGAAACCAGCAAAGACCTGTTTTACTCTGAATAGCAGGTGTGTTTTATAATAATAAGGGGATGCATGGCTGAATTCACCCCATGGCATTTCCTGCCCTTCAGAGATCCACTGAAGGAATTTGTTTGTGCCATTGTGAAGAAATAGGAAACCATTAGATTAAAGGCTTCCATCTGTCTATTCATTTACCTTATATACCTCTCAAAAGTGGTTTTAAAGTAACACTTGAGGAAAAGACCTTTATAAATAAAAAAAGCATCATATCAGAATTGATCTCTATAATGAGGATAATAAAGTTTAGGATGAATACAGGTAAGAGACACTTTCTGATCATTTGTCATTGGTGTTAAAATGGTATTAAAATTGTTTAAATGACATACCCACCACACAATATGATTTAATATACTAATAATAAAAGGAGCATTAAAAATTACAATTAGAAATGCATCTTCAAACACAAATAGATCACAAATCACAATTTTCTCAGGACTTACCAGCTAATTGAGACACCATCAATGTAGGGACACTTACTTTTAAATAGAACAAAATTAATTGGAAATGTAATTAATAAAACATAACACATGGTTTAAGCTTCTAGGCTTAATTAGTGTTAGGAAGTACAGGAAAGGATTTCAGAACTAAACGTTTTGTGGGCATTATTTTTAGTAAAATAATAATATTAAATGTCAGTGTCCAACTTTACCTCTATTTAGAAACGCTTTTAAACAAAACAACTAAATATTCTGTAAGGACTTCTGTAACAATCCCCATTTGTTGAGATGACATTAAAAACAGCTTTAAAATAAAAAATAAAAACAATTCTCTTATACGTCCACTAGATGGCAGAAAAAGCTCAAGAAAGAAGGTGTAACGCATTGGACTCCAAACCAAAACTCGTGACGGCCAGGAAAACCTGGACGCATGGAAGACGAACAACTCAAAACGATCTAACGCTACTACACAAGTCTATTACACATACTGGCTTTTTAATGCATGTGTCTACTTGAGTTTTATTTATGGTCTATTGACTTTATTTTTAGAATGTTGTGAAATCGCACAAAATAAAGTTTTAAACTATTTACACTGTCGCAGTTTTTGGTAACAAGTTCGCAAACATTTTAAATCAGGAAATTAACATGAACATATGTACATGAAGCATAAAATAATTAGTTTGACGATTTGGTGAAGCACTACATCTCTAACAAACAAAAAAATAACGCTTTTTAAGAATATTTGTGACCCTGGACCACAAAAGCAGTCTCAAGTCGCATGGGTGTATTTTGTAGCAATAGCCAAAAAAACATTGTATGGGTCAAAATTATCGATGTTTCTTTTATGCAAAAAAAATCATTAGGATATTAAATAAAGATCATGTTCCATGAAGATATTGTGCATATTTCCTACCATAAATATATCAACTTTATTTTTGATTAGCAATATGCATATAGCTTAGAACTTAATTTGAACAACTTAAAGGCAAATTTCTCAGTATTTTGATAGATTTTTTTGCACCCTCAGATTCCATATTTTCAAAGTGTCATATTTCAACCAAATATTATCCTAATAAACCATGCATCAACGGAAAGCTTATTCATTCAGCTTTCATGTTTAAATCTCCTCAATTTTGAATTGACCCTTATGACTGGGTTTGTGGTCCAGGGTCACATGTCTTTAACATGAACATATGTACATGAAGCATAAAATAATTAGTTTGACGATTTGGTGAAGCACTACATCTCTAACAAACAAAAAAATAACGCTTTTTAAGAATATTTGTGACCCTGGACCACAAAAGCAGTCTCAAGTCGCATGGGTGTATTTTGTAGCAATAGCCAAAAAAACATTGTATGGGTCAAAATTATCGATGTTTCTTTTATGCAAAAAAAATCATTAGGATATTAAATAAAGATCATGTTCCATGAAGATATTGTGCATATTTCCTACCATAAATATATCAACTTTATTTTTGATTAGCAATATGCATATAGCTTAGAACTTAATTTGAACAACTTAAAGGCAAATTTCTCAGTATTTTGATAGATTTTTTTGCACCCTCAGATTCCATATTTTCAAAGTGTCACATTTCAACCAAATATTATCCTAATAAACCATGCATCAACGGAAAGCTTATTCATTCAGCTTTCATGATGTTTAAATCTCAATTTTGAAAAATTGACCCTTATGACTGGGTTTGTGGTCCAGGGTCACATGTCTTTTTGTGTGTGACAGCAGTAACTTTTGTTTCGTGAGAAATTGGTTTGAATCGGTAATAACTCGAGAACTGCCACAGTTTAAACGAAAAATTAAACCTAGTTTTCAACGACAGCCAACAATTGTTTTTTTTTGTTTTATTGAATTCCATATAAATGTGAGTGAGGTAGCCTCCGTTTTTCCCACCCGACTTCAAACATAGCATTTATGTAAGGACCACTGTATTAGAGAGGCTGCATTAAACGTACAGCTAAATAAAGCAAGTGACATGGTCTTTTTACTTAAACAATATATTTTCTCTTTTAAATGATTTATAAAACAAACAAAATCTCTGCAAAAGTATCTATTGCAAACTTTAAATGAATGAATTTACAATACAGTAAAGACATTTCGATTTGAACTGGTCACACTGAACACAGGACAAACATGAGTTCAGCCTCCACTACAGAGCTAGTCTTCAACATCTGCTTATTTCACTACTAGACAAGACCAAAAGAAAGAACAATTTAAGAAACACTTAAACAATTAAGGTATTAAAGATCCAGTTTGTCTAGACAAAAAGCTTTGGGAGTGACACAAACCGTCCACATAATATTATTATTTGTTCTTCAATCAGCCCAACCAAAGGCAAACCACAGTAAAACACAACATGCAATGCTAAATTGATACTTCACCTGTTTAATTGATTTAATCGTGGGGTAGAAAGAAATGCGTGTATTTCACTGAACAGTCGGCTCTCAAAAGAAAATTACAAAAATTCTTCATAGTATCAAACAAATGTCTGAAACTTCTTAAAAACAAACAAAAAAAGACAATTCCACTCATGCTTACACACTCACATATACACACACACACACACACACAGAACTGAAGGTAACACAAAAATTGGCATATTATTGATTGTGTTACTCAGTAATCCTTGAACAGCAACTGGTGAGAGTTTAACAAGATCCAAGACCAAATCAACCTGCAATATACACAGAGCCAGCACAGCTGAAACAAAAGAGCTTCCATTATTGGTAAAAGAATGCTTCATTGCACAATGATCCAACACAAATCAGAAATGTTACAGTAGTTTTGATTGGATCTGGCCTTCAGTCCAAATGCAGAGCTGAAACATGACTCCATCAAATCCGTGTTGTCTTGTCCCTATAATATTCTTCAAAACCAAGGAACAAATCACTCCTTATCTGCATTTATACTCGGAGAGGTTTAATATGAAAAGGTTTTGTGAACTTTGTGATCAAGACTCGTAAAAACAGGGACTAAAATACCAGGTACAACAAAACTTTAAAAAAATAAAAAATAAAAAAAAAACTCTCCCCCAAAAAACAATTAAAAATAAGTCAGTAAGTGAAATGGTTTGAGCACGAGAACGCTAGAGGGACATATAAAATTAATTTTATTACCCTTCTTCAGGTGGACATTTAATTGTTTCTAAACAGTCACGGCGAGTGAAAGTTCACACCCGTTTGCTTTTCTAACTCACACAGACAGGTGCAAAAACATCATGGGTTTCTTTTTGAGTTCACAAACCCCTAAACAACAACTGAGGAGAAAAATGGTAACTTAACATTAGTTCTGTGTTATTTGCAACATCATAAAAATAACCACAAATGAAATCAATCCCCCCCCCCCCCCCAC